CCATATCCCACAATCCATACCCCATATCCATATCCCACATCCCACATCCCATATCCCACATCCCATATCCCAATATCCCATATCCCATATCCCATATCCCACATCCCATATCCCACATCCCATATCCCAATATCCCATATTCCATATCCCCACATCCCATATCCCACAATCCATACCCCATATCCATATCCCCACATCCCACACCCCATACCCCTTATCCCATATCCCACATCCTCATCCCAATGTCCCCATGTGTCCCCACATCCCCCCATGTCCCCAGGTGTCCCCACGTCCCCCAACGTCCCCTGGTAGCCCTACGTCCCCCCCATGTCCCCAGGTGTCTCCATGTGACCCCATGTTCCTCTGATGTCCCCACGTCCCCCGATGTCCACAGGGGTCCCCATGTCCCCCAGTGTCCCCACATCCCCCCATGTCCCCTGATGTCCCTTTGTTCCCGTGTGTCCCCATGTCTCCACACCCCCCCACGTCCCCTGATGTCCCCATGCCCCCTGATGCCCCCAGGTGTCCCCATATCCCCCCACGTCCCCTGATGTCCCATGTCCCCAGGTGTCCCCATGTCTCCACATCCCCCCCATGTCCCCGATGTCCCCACGTCTCCTGATGTCCCATGTCCCCTGATGTCCCCATGTGTCCCCACATCCCCTGATGCCCCCATGTGTCCCCATATCCCCCCACATCCCCTGATGTCCCCATGTCCCCACGTGTCCCCATGTCCACTCATGTCCCCATGTGTCCCCATGTGCCCCCACGTCCCCTGATGTCCCCATGTCCCCTGATGTCCCCATGTGTCCCCACATCCCCTGATGCCCCCAGGTGTCCCCATATCCCCCCACGTCCCCTGATGTCCCCATGTCCCCACGTGCCCCCATGTCCCCCGATGCCCCCCAGGCGCCCCGATCACCGTGTGTTGGGAATGGCCTCCCAGCTGACGGGGGAGATGAGCTGGATGGAAAAGGCCTCCTGCTGGGGGTGCACGTAGCGATCGTCTGCGGGGACACGGCGCTCATGGGGGGCAGCGAGGGGACAGACGGGGGGACAGACGGGGACAGACGGGGGGACACCACAGGGACAGACAGGGGGACATCTGGGGACAGACAGGGGGACATCTGGGGACAGATAAGGGGACATCTGGGGACAGATGGGGGGACATTTGGGGACAGACGGGGGGACACCACAGGGACAGACAGGGGGACATCTGGGGACATCTGGGGACAGACAGGGGGAACATTTGGGGACACCATAGGGACAGCCGGGGGGACACCGTAAGGACAGACAGGGGGACATCTGGGGACAGACAGGGGGACATTTGGGGACACCGTTGGGACAGACGGGGGGACACCGTAAGGACAGACAGGGGGACACCTGGGGACAGACGGGGGTACACCATAGGGACAGACAGGGGGACATCTGGGGACAGATATGGGGACATCTGGGGACAGACAGGGGGACATCTGGGGACAGACAGGGGAACATTTGGGGACACCATAGGGACAGACGGGGGGACACCATGGGGACAGAAAGGGGGACATCTGGAGACAGACAGGGGGACACTACAGGGACAGACAGGGGGACACAGAAGGTGACACTTTGGGGACACACAGTGACACCTGGTGACACAAGGTGACACTTTGAGGACACAAAGGTGACACACAGTGACACACAAGGTGACACTTTGGGGACACACAGTGATGCACAGCGACACTTTGGGGACACAGGTGACACTTTGGGGACACGCAGGTGACACTCTGGGGACATGCAGTGACACCTGGTGACACAGGTGACACGCTGGGGACAGACAGGTGACACCTGGTGACACAGGTGACACTTTGGGGACACGCAGGTGACACTCTGGGGACACGCAGTGACACCTGGTGACACAGGTGACACTCTGGGGACACGCAGGTGACACTCTGGGGACACACAGTGACACCTGGTGACACAAGGTGACACTTTGGGGACACAAAGTTGACATAGGTGACACACAAGGTGACACTTTGGGGACACACAGTGGCGCACAGCAACACCAGGTGACACAGGTGACACTTTGGGGACACACAGTGGCGCACAGCGACACCTGGTGACACAGGTGACACTTTGGGGACACACAGTGACACCTGGTGACACAGGTGACACTCTGGGGACATGCAGTGACACCTGGTGACACAGGTGACACTTTGGGGACACGCAGGTGACACCTGGTGGCTAGGTGGCAGCACTGACCGCGCTCGATGCTCTCGAACTCCTTCTCCTCTCCCGTCATGCGTGGGATGCGCGTGCAAGGGTTGCTCACACTCGTGGCCACCGCGTACACCTGGGGCACCAGCAGCCCCAAATCAGCCCAGACACACACGGACACCACTGACCCCAAAGCCCCACTGACCCCAAAGTCCCACTGACCCCAAAGCCCCACTGACCCCAAAGCCCCACTGACCCCAAAGTCCCATTGATCCCAATGCCCCATTGATCCCAATACCCCACTGATCCCACTGACCCCAATGTCCCATTGACCCCAATGCCCACTGATCCCAATTCCCCATTGACACCAATGTCCCATTGACCCTATTGACCCATTGACCCCAATGCCCCATTGACCCCAATCTCCCTATTCACCCCAATGCCCCATTGACCCCAACGTCCCATTGGTCCCATTGACACATTGACCCCAATGCCCCACTGACCCCAATGCCCCATTGACCCAATGGCCTCAATGCCCCATTGATCCCATGTCCCATTGACCCCAATGCCCCATTGACCCATTGACCCCAATGCCCCATTGACCCCAATGCCCCATTGATCCCAATGTGGCACTGACCCCAATGCCCCACTGACCCCAATGGCCCATTGACCCCAATCTCCCTATTGACCCCAATGTCCCACTGACCCCAATGCCCCATTGACCCAATGGCCTCAATGCCCCATTGACCCCAATGTCCCATTGCCCCAATGACCCATTGACACATTGACCCCAATGCCCCATTGATCCCAATGCCCCATTAACCCCAATGCCCCATTGACCCAATGGCCTCAATGCCCCATTGATCCCATGTCCCATTGACCCCAATGCTCCATTGACCACAATGTCCCATTGATCCCAATGCCCCATTGACCCCAATGCCCATTGACCCCAATGCCCCACTGATCTCAATGTCCCTACTGACCCCAATGTCCCAATGACCCCAATGCCCCATTGACCCCAATGCTCCATTGATCCCAATGTCCCATTGACCCCAATGCCCCACTGACCTCAATGACCCTATTGACCCCAACGCCCCATTGACCCCAATCTTCTTATTGGCCCCAATGTCCCATTGACACCAATGCCCCAATGACCCCAAAGTCCTATTGACCCCAATGCCCACTGACCCCAATGCCCCATTGACTCCATTGACCCCACTGCCCCATTGACCGCAATGTCCCAATCTCCCATTGCCCCATTGACCCCAATGCTCACTGACCCCAATGCCCCACTGCCCCATTGACCCCAATGCCCACTGACCCCAATGCCCCATTGACCTCAATCTCCCTATTGACCCCAACGTCCCAATGACCCCAATCTCCCTATTGACCCCAATCTCCCTATTGACCCCGATGTCCCATTGACCCCAATGCCCCACTGACCCAATGGCCTCAATCCCCCATTGACCCAATGACCGCAATGCCCCATTGACCCCAATGTCCCATTGACCCCAATCTCCTATTGACCCCAATGTCCCATTGACCCCAATGTCCCCATTCCCCCATTTAACCCACTGCCCCCAGTGTGCCCAGTGTCCCCATTTCCCTGAATGTCCCCAGTGTTCCCATTGACCCCCAAGGTCCCCACTGACCTCCAAGGTCCCCAATGCCCCCAATGTCCCCACTGCTCCCACTGCCCCCATTGTTCCCGTATCCCCCCAGAGTCCCCATTCCTCTGAATGTCCCCAATGTCCCCACTGACCCCCAAAGTCCCCAATGTCCCCATTCCCCTGAATGTCCCCAGTGTCCCCACTGACCCCCAAAGTCCCCACTGACCCCAATGTCCCTAATGTCCCCATTGACCCCAATGTCCTCATATCCCCCCAAAGTCCCCATTGCTCCCAATGTCCCCATTCCCCTGAATGTCCCCAATGTCCGCATTGACCCCCAAAGTCCCCACTGCCCCCAATGTCCCTAATGTCCCCATTCCCCTGAATGTCCCCATTGCCCCACTGACCCCCAAAGTCCCCACTGCTCCCACTGCCCCCAAAGTCCCCACTGACCCCCAAAGTCCCCACTGCTCCCACTGCCCCCAATGTCCCCATTGACTCCCAATGTCCCCAATGTCCCTGTTCCCCTGAATGTCCCCAATGTCCCCACTGACCCCCAAAGTCCCCATTGCTCCCACTGTCCCCATTGACTCCCAATGTCCCCAATGTCCCTGTTCCCCTGAATGTCCCCAGTGTCCCCACTGACCCCAATGTCCCCATTCCCCCGAATGTCCCCAATGTCCCCAATGTCCCCATGTCCCCCACTGCCCCCCACCCCACCTTGGACTCCACATGGTAGGCCACGTAGTGTGCGGTGCAGCGCAGTGGGATCTTGCGGACGGGCCACGGGGCGTCGTAGGACAGAGCAGCAGGCAGCACACTGATACGAAGCTCCCCCTGCCCCACACCATTAACAGGAACCCCAATTAACGGGGATCCAAATTAACGACAGCCCAAATTAATGAGAAGCCGAATTAGCAAGAACCCAAGTCAACGGCGAACCACTGAATGGGAAGGCAACCCAATGGGAACCAACACCAACCCAAATGATGGCCCTAATCAAGAGAGACCCCAATGAATGGGAACCACAATTAACAGAGATTAAATTAATGGGAACCAAATTAAGGAGAACCCAAATTAATGAGAACCCAAGTTAATGGCAAAGGTCATTAATGGGAACACAAACCAATGGGAGTGCAAACCAACGGGAACCAACATCAATGATGACATAAATCAAGAGGAGACCCCAATTAATGGGGACCACAATTAATGGGGATTAAATTAACGGGAGCACAAATTAAGGAGAAACCAAATTAATGAGAATCCAAATTAACAAGAACCCAAGTTAATGGCAAAGCTCATTAATGGGAAGGCAAACCAATGGGAATGCAAATCAATGGGAACCAACATCAACCCAAATGATGACCCTAATCAAGAGGGGACCCCAATTACTGGGAGCCACAATTAACAGAGATTAAATTAATGGGAACCAAATTAAGGAGAACCCAAATTAACAAGAACCCAAGTTAATGGCAGAGCTCATTAATGGGAAGGCAAACCAATGGGAATGCAAATCAATGGGAACCAACATCAATGATGACATAAATCAAGAGGAGACCCCAATTAATGGGAACCACAATTAATGGGGATTAAATTAACGGGAGCACAAATTAAGGAGAACCCAAATTAATGAGAAATCAAATTATCAACAACCCAAGTTAATGGCAAAGGTCATTAATGGGAACACAAACCAATGGGAATGCAAATCAATGGGAACCAACATCAACGATGACCCAAATCAAGAGGAGACCCCAATTAAAGGGAACCATAATTAATGGGAATTAAATTATTGGGAACACAAATTATGAGAACCCAAATTAACGAGAACCCAAACTATCAAGAACCTAAATTAATGGCAAAACTCATTAGCAGGAATGGAAATGAACGAGAACCCACATCAACAGTGACTCAAACCAAGAAGGGAGCCTAATTAAAGGAATCCCAATTAACTGATCTTAAATTAATGGGAACCAAACTAATGAGAAACCAAAATAATGGGAACCCAAGTTAATGAGAATCCAAATTAACAAGAACCCAACTGAACAGCAAACCACAAACAAACGAGAGCCCACAACAATGGTGGCCCAAGACAAGAGGGGACCCCAATTAATGGGAACCACAATTAATTGATCTTACATTAATGGAACCAAATTAATGAGAACCCAAATCAACAAGAACCCAAGTTAATGGCAGAGCTCATTAATGGGAAAGCAAATGAACAAGAACCCTCGTCAGTGGTGACCCAAGTGGAGAGGGGACACCAATTAATGGGAACCCAAATTAATGAGCACCCAAATGAATGGGAACCCAAATTAATGAGCACCCAAATTAACAAGAACCCCAGTAAATGGCAAAGCTCATTAACAGGAACTCAAACAAACGAGAGCCCACATCAACAGGACCCCAATTAACGGGAACCACAATTAATGGGGAATTAAAGGGAACCCAAATTAATGAGAACCCAAAGTAATGGGAACCCAAATTAACGAGAATGCAAATTAACAAGAACCCAAGTTAATGGCAGAGCTCATTAATGGGAAAGCAAATGAACAAGAACCCACGTCAATGGTTACCCAACTCGAGAGGGGACCCCAATTAACGGGAACCCCAATTAATGGGGAATTAATGGTTACCCCAATTACTGAAAACCCAAATGAATGGGAAACCAAGTTAATGAGCACCCAAATTAACAAGAACCCAAATTAATGGCAGAGCTCATTAATGAGGATGCAAATTAACAAGAACCCTCATTCAACGGCGAGCCAATCCAAGAGGGGACCCAAACAGACGGGAAGAGCAATTAAGAGAGCCTCTAATTAACGAGGGGCCGCTAATGAGGGGCCGCTAATTAGCGCAGGCACCTGGCGGTTGAAGTAGAGGAAGCCTTTGGGGCAGTTGACGTTGTGGAACGGGGCGAAGGAATCGATGGGGCCATCGATGGCCATGGGGTGCAGCCGCAGCGCGCCGCGGGAGGACAGCAGCAGCCAATGGGGGGCTGGGCCGCACAGGAACACCTGCAATTAGGTAATTAGGTGTTAATTAGGGTCTGCGGGGGAAGGAGTATGGGGCCAGGACATAAAGGAATGACACTGATTGATTAATTAGTCATTAATTTGGGTCAACTGAGGAAGGAGCCACAGCGCACCATGAGAGGACAGCAGCAGCCAATGGGGGGCTTGGCTGCACAGGAACACCTGCAATTAATTAATTAGGCGTTAATTAGGGTCAGCAGGGGAAGGAGTGCGGGCCCAGGACACAAAGGAACGCCGCTGATTGATTAATTAGTCACAAATTAGGGTCAGCTGAGGAAGGAGCCGCAGCGCACCATGAGAGGACAGCAGCAGCCAATGGGGGGCTTGGCTGCACAGGAACACCTGCAATTAATTATTTAGGCGTTAATTAGGGTCAGCGGGGGAAGGAGTGCGGGGGCCAGGACACAAAGGAACGCCGCTGATTGATTAATTAGTCACAAATTAGCGTCAACCGAGGAAGGAGCCGCAGCATGCGGGAGGACAGCAGCAGCCAATGGGCTGGGCCGCACAGGAACACCTGCAATTAATTAATTAGGTGTTAATTAGGGTCAGCAGGGGAAGGAGTGCGGGGCTGCGTGGCAGAGGAACAGCTGCAATTCATTAATTAGTGATTGATTAGGGCACTGAGGTCATGAGGGGAAGTAGCATGGGGGAGGGCTGCACAGGAACAGCTGCAATTAGTTAATTAGTTTGTTAATTAGGTTCATTAGATTCATTAGGCCAGCACAGAAACACCGGCCATTCGTTAAGCATTAATTAATCAGGTTCATTAGGAGAGTCAGCACAGCACCACTGGGCGCACTAACAACTGCCATTAGCTAATTAATTAGTTAATTAATTACAGTCATTAATTAGGAGAAGTCGTGAGGGGAAACGGTGTG